CCCCAGATGGGTAATTATGTTGAGTATCTTTCCGTGTACTGATTAGATTATTTTATATTCTTTGGAAAATGTCTACTCAGATCATTTCCCATTTTTAAACTGAGTTATTTATCTTATATTACTGAGCTGTAAGAGAGCTTTATATATTCTGGATACTAGACTCTTATCAGATATATGACCTACAAATATTTTCTCCCAATCTGTGGGTTGTCTTTTCACTAGTGTTCTTTGAAGCACAAATGGTTTTAATTTTGATGAAGTTCAATTTATCTAGTTTTTCTTTTGTTGCTTATTGTTTTTGTATCATATCTAAGAAACCATTGCCTAAGCCAGAATCACAAAGATTTATGCCTATGTTTTCTTCTAAGATTTTATAATTTTAGCTCTTACGTTTAGGTCTTTGATTTATTTTGAGTTAACTTTTATATATACTGTGAAATCACATGATGTTTTTCAAAACAAGTTGAAGTGATGAATAATCCAGAGTTTAAAAAAATACACAACTATCTTTGGTTTTCATTGAAAAATCATGTGATATTTTGTAAAATGTAACATTTAATGGAAGGAAAATAAACATTAACTCCTAATGAGGCTGATAGCCCCAATATTTACTTTAAAAAATTGATAACTGAGCTAGCCCTGTGTACTGGTGGTTAAGGGGGCTAGATCCCACATGGTTTGAAACTTGGTTCCAGTGGCTTGAAAAACATGTTGGATGCATGTGCATGTTTGCTCAAAATCCCCTCCAGTGCAAAAATGGAGGAGGAGAGATTGTGGTGTGACTGCACCACATGGAGGGGAGCTATGTCCCTCTCTCTCTCTCTCTCTGTCTCTGGCCACTGCATGTGACCTCTGGAAAAATAACAATTAAAAAATTGATAAGCTATGAATTGTTAAAATAAGCTTTTAATGTTTTAATTTTAAAAAACTATTTCCTGTAAATATTTAAATATGGGGGGAGTAGATGGTGTGTGGCTAAGGTGCTATACTCCCACATGGACAACTATGGTTCAAGCCCTGGACCTGGTAGTTTGAAAATCACACTGGATACATGTGCATGCACGTGTGCCCAAAATCCCAGGAGGAGAATGAAGGAGAAGAATGAAAGAGAAGGGATTGTGGCATATCCATCCCCCCGGGTGTTGGTTTCTCACTGTCCCTTTCGCCGTCTCTCTCTCTCTCTCTCTCAAGTGCATATGCCCAGTGGCAAAAAAAAAAAAAAAAAAAAAGAAAGAAAGAAAGAAAGAAAGAAAAGAGAAGGCTTAAATAAATGAAACTATAATTTTTTTTTTTTGGAGAGGTTTTCACTATAGGGTGTGTGCACTTGCCAGACAGAGAGAGACAGAGACAGAAAGCGAGAAATCACCCCCCAGGGGGGATGGTCACGCCGCAATCCCTTCTCCTCCATTCTCCTCTCGGGATCTTGGGCACGCACGCACACGCGCCCGGCGTGAGTTTTAAGCCACCGGGTCCGGGACACGAACCGCGGTCGACTACGTGGGAGTCCAGCGACATAGCCGTTGTGCTAACTGCTGGTCCCAATGAAACTATAATTTAACATGTTATGTAAGAAGTATTTTTTTTTAATTTTTTTTTTGAGAGATTTTCACTGTAGGGCGCATGCGCTCGCCAGACAGACAGAGAGAGACATAGAGACAGAAAGCGAGAAATCCCCCCCCAGGGGGGATGGTCACGCCGCAATCCCTTCTCCTCCATTCTCCTCTCGGGATCTTGGGCACGCACGCACACGCGCCCGGCGTGAGTTTTAAGCCACCGGGTCCGGGACACGAACCGCGGTCGACTACGAGGGAATCCAGCGACATAGCCATTACGCTAACTGCTGGTTCTCAAGAAGTATTTTTGAAATATACTTAAACAGTCAGTGCAGTTATGCCCCTCAGAGGACACTGGCGATATTTGGAGACATTTCCTATTGCCACAACTGGGAGCACAGCGTTCCTGGCAGCTACGATTACAGAGCAGGGTGGCTGCTAGACAGTCTGCATTGCATAGAAAATAGCCCTCCAGGACAAAGAAGTAGCCAGCGCAAAATGTCTGCTGTGTGAGCTTGAGAAACTGCTTTACCTTAACCTGTGGCTTGTATCAGATAGATTCAAAAGGAGATGAGAGTCTTCGAATCCTTTCCCTTTAGTTATAGCCTTGTGGTTTTCTCCTACCATAAAGCTGCACCTTTTGGGGACCAGAATGTGCCCAAGCACCTTCCTGCTGTAAAATTCTTTATGGTGACAGGAATTTATAGTCCTGCCCTGTGGGGATCATGGGAAAGCACGAGCACCTGCCTTTAGTGCTTACTTCCTTTAAGATGTGTGTTTGAGTTTTTTAAATTTAAGACATATGAGGGGGGTCTTCAGAAAGTTCATAGAAAACTTGTATTATATATGAAAAACAAACAGACATAGAATTCAAAAATGTTTTGCACAAAAATTAATTTGTACTTTAACTCAATTTTCCCACAGACGTTTTCAAGTCCCTTATATGAATGGTCTTTAAAAAGTACTAGAGGGCCAGCAGATGGCATGGAGGTTAAGGAGGCTGGATCCCACATGGCCAACTAAGTGGTTTGAGTCCCAGACCTGGTGGCTTGAAAAACACACCGGGTATGTGTGTCCCACATCCCTAGAGGATAATGGATGAGAAAGGATTGTGGAGTGGCCATCCCCCGGGGGATGATGTCTTACTTTCTCTCTCTTTCTCTGTTTCTTTCTAGTGAATATATGCACTTTATAACCAAAAGGGAAAAAAAGTAACTGGAAAAGGTATATTATGAAAAAACTATGCATGCATTTCAAATTTTTGTCCCTAAATAGACTTACTTTAATTTCATTTTTCAATGAGCTTTTTGAAATTCTCATATTTGAATAGTACATTCCCTGTTAAGCATATATTGGGTCATCAGAAAATTCATGACACATTTTTGCATAGAAAAATACTGTAACTTTTCTGACGACCCAATATATTTGGGCAACCAAATTCCTATTAAAGTGTTTCTTATCTGATGATGTAGCAGGTAATCATTTCTGAGTATTCACTAAATCAGGTACTGTGCTAAGCACTCTTCCATTGTACATGACCTCATTTCATTTTCCCAACGCCTCTATGGGAGAGAACACCCATCGTTCGCATTTGATAGCCATGGACACTGAGGAACAATGCGATGAGGGGACTTGGCCCAGAGCGGAGGGATCATCATGACTCCAAGTCGGAGCTTAAGCCTGCGGTGGGGTCAACTGTGAGGTGCAGGCATGTCACAAAGAATTTGGATTATCCATTATGAATAATCACATGTCAATATTTGAGGGCAGTGAGGTGTTCTCGCACTTGCGCCCCAGTAAAGCACCCAGCCAAGGGAGGGAAGGAGCAGGCACACACACGGTCCCACCTCTCCTGAGACATGCCCCCACAGCATGGCTCACAGGGAACTCGCCTGTCCTGCCTAGTACAGTGGACAGTATCTCAGGACGGCTGTTCAAAGAAAATCAGGATGTATGTGGCATCATTTACGTTCCTGAAATCACCCCTGTAGCAGTCAAGGCTTGACTTTCTACTGCTGATCATCCTCTTGTTAAAATGCACCAAGTCCCAAATCTCCCTCCCATCCTGTGGCCTAAATCCAGCCCCAACTGCCAAGGCCCTGATCGGTACATGCACGCTGTGCTGGTCTCAGCTCACGGAGTGGGGCCAGGCCCCAGCCTCCCTATCTTGCAGCCACTGACCTTACTGGAACATTACTGTGATGTTAAACAGGGTAAGACGTCTTAGAAAAAATGACATGCTTCCCTCCAGAGTGGTATTTCCTTCTCAAGCTCTGCTTCTCGGTGTGCCAGACCCATAGCTCTCTTCATATGCCTGATATGAAAACTCTCGGAGACAACTTTCAAACAAGGCTTTCGAGTGTGTGTGAATGACCAAAGATATACATTTATATACTACAAAGATTGGCAATGGAACGACTCCAGTTTAGTCAGTTTTGGGGTGCAACAAGGAGCTATGTGAGGTTCTGTCCAGACCCTCAGCTGGCTCTCAGAATGAAAGCAGGCAGGAAGAGCACATGGTTAGGAGTGAAGCCTGTCCTCTTCCCCAAAGCTGAAGAAATCTTTGCTGTTTGTTCTAGATGAGTCCCTGAAGCTCCTTGGGCAAGTCTTCCCTTGCTCTGGGCCTCAGTTTCCCCTTGAATGGAGGGCGTATGCTCTGGATGATCTCTGAACATCCTTGCAGCCGTACACGTCCTTGACTCTCTAAGGTACGGGCTGCGTCAAAGTGAGCCCTCTAGGAATCCACCCTAATTAGGAATCTGCTTCAGTAGAAGCCTGCCCATGTTTGAAGAAGAGAAGCAACAACTGGTTGATGCTATCTTTCTTGAAAGACCCATCTCCAGGGGCGACTTTCAAAATATTTAACCACCCGTGATACTTGAGCGTAGACCCACTGGGAGGTCAGAAGCGTGCCTCACCCACTGTGCAGCTCTACAGAGTGTTTCTTCAGCCTCAATTTTGAGTCTCCCTCTGTCTGCCTAGTCCTGCATCCAGGACCCAAGTCAAACCCCCTTTCTCTTCTGTCTCCGCCCACTTGATCCACAACTGCTATAAATATCTGCATGCATCTAAACACCGACCTGATCGTATTTGTTACTCAGCAGATGCTCCCGAGTGCCCCTCTGTGTTCAGTCCTGTGCTGGCTTTCCCCACCCTTCACCCCTTCACCTTCAAAAGCATTAGAGGTAGGGGCAACCAGGAGGATTAGCTGGCCTGAGCGGTAGCCTCTCTCTACCCTCTTCTGCTGTGTGACCTTAGGCAAGTCCTTGTCCCTCTTGGGTTTCAGATTCCTTACATGTAAATTGAGGGACATGGATGAATCTGATGAGCATTGAGATCCCTGCTATGCAATGATGAGTTTCCGGAGAATCACCAGTCTTCGGCAGCTGACTGCTCTCTCTTTCTCTCTCTCTTTCTCCTCCCACCCTCCCCTAACCTCCACTGTAGAATGCACTGCTGCCCGCAGGCCTGAGGCAGAAGGATCAAACCACCAAGGCGCCCACAGGCCCCTTTAAAAGAGAGGAGCTCTTGGATCACTTGGAAAAACAAGCAAAGGAATTTAAGGACCGAGAAGATCTGGTCCCCTACACAGGGGAGAAACGAGGTACTGAACAATGTTGCTCTTATAAATGTGTCATTCCCCGTGCATCATTGAGTGCCAACTATATACCAGGCCCTGTGTGAAACCAAATAGGGCTGGGCCTTCTCATCCTCATTCTTGCCTAACCAAAAATACAAACCCAACTCCAAAAACATCAATGCATGATGTAGGTTAGGGTTAGTGAAGCTGTGGGGTAGAGCAAGGGGAGAATTACGACCACTCAGACCAACACTGCTTCTCCCTAACTCTTCTTTAACTAAGGTGTCCTGATTAGTTCCTTTATAAACCTAGACTCTCCTGAGAGTGAAAGAGGGCATCAGGTCAGGAGGCCCGCACGAGGATCGTCCTGTGCCAACCAGGAACAGAAGCTGTCCTATCTTGACCCTAACTTCTCCTGCCCCCTCTGTCTAACTCCTCTCTGGTGGCCACAGTATGTATCCCTGCCTTCATCTGACCTTCCAAGACTCCCTGCTCTCACCTAAGGCAAATCATCTAGAAGGCCCAGAGGAACAGAGAGGCCTTCCCTGACCACGCACCCTTCCAGGACTTCTCATTGCCCTCTAACCATTCTGCTTTCTCTTGTGCATCGCTTGCTGTTGATAGCTGCCCTACTGCCCCACAGGTCTCCTTCTGTCCCTCAAACTTGCCAAGCTCTCTTCTCCCTCAGGACCTTTGCACGCATTCCCTGTGCCTAGAGTGCTGGTCCCACTGCCCAGCTCCATGACGCCTTCTGGGCTGGCTCTTCCTCCTCTGTAAGAGAGGTGATGGTTAGAAACAGCCTGGAGCTAGACCTACTCTGTAATCCTGACACTACCACGTACCGTGTGAGCGTAACTAAAATTGTAAACCTGCTGTGCCTTCATTTCCTCCTCCATAAAGTGGGGGTGATGACAATGACATAACCGGCCCCGGGAGGTCACTGGAGGGTTAAGTGGGTTAGGAAGTAAGGTACTTCGAGCAGCATCTGGCACGTGGTGAAGGCATGTGTTAGCTATCATCCCGTAGGTCTCAACTGTACCATCTTCTCTTTCAGGGGAGCTGTCCCTGTCTACCCCGGTTAGGACATGCAGTCCCCTTTGCTTATTCCCCATCTCAGGAGCTTGTATGTTTCCTTCGGCAGCTGACTGCTCTCTCTTTCTTTCTCTCTCTCTTTCTCCTCCCACCCTCCCCCAACCTCCACTGTAGAATGCACTGCTGCCCGCAGGCCTGAGGCAGTGCATTCTACCAGAATTTACCAGAATCTCTTTATTATCACCCGTCTCGCTCACTGGTCCGTAAGCTCCCCAAAGGCAGGGACTTGGGCTGTTTTTGCTCAGGAGGTACCCCAAGCACCCGGTCACAGAGGGCTTGGTGTACGGTAGGGCGTAGTAGAGTTAACGAGTGAGTTAGAGTTAAATAACATGTGAGGAGCCTTGCACGCTGCGTCATTAGAATGCAAGCCCCATGAATGCAAGCCCCGTGTCTGCCTTGTGCACCACTACATCCTCAGCACCTAGAAACTTCCTAGCACATAGACGCCACCTAACAAGTACGGTGCAATGGCAACGTTAATGAACTCTACTTCGTCAGTTGTGGGAGCAGTGGTTGCTGTTCATTCTCCCCACCCCCAAACCATGTCAGCCGGATGCACCCAGGGTCAGGGGCTGTGGCTGTCATCTCCATTAGCGCAAAACCCTCACAGGGTCACTGCTTAATAAATAATAAAATGAAAAGGTACCCAGGGTAGACATTACGGGAGGACTTTGAGCTATTCTAAACCCTGATTTTTACCCCAAACTGGAAGATCAGGGAGGCCCAAGGAGCATCTGGATCACAGAATTTTGGGAGGATGGAGGCATCCTAGAGGGGGTGGCTGGAGAGGGGGTGGGGATGGTGCCATGGAGGCTGGGGAGGAGGAGTGCTTGACGGTAAAGAGCTGAGTCTGCCTGACAGAGAGTGTGGGCAGCAGGGATGTTTTTAAACGAGGGATTCGTGCCATGTGGAGTGGTTTCTGTGGGTTCCATGGGGTCTTACAATTCCCATAGTCTCACCTGCACATTTTAAAATGGGGAGACCTTTGGAGAGCAGCCAATCTGAAAACGTAATTAAAACATATGGCCTGAAGACACAGGCAAATATATGCTTCTGTAAGCTACTCTGCAGGGCTATTAAAAAGCATTTACATACAGAGACCGAGGCCGAGGCCTTGGGGAGTCAGCTGCAGACCTGGGTGGACAGCTGCCGAGGTGCATCATCGTAGGCACCCAGCTTCTCGGGGAACTCCCTGCCCAGAGGAGGAGCTGGAGGATGGTGTAGAGGACGGGGAAGGGGACCACCTCCACAATCGTCACCATCAAATATTAAATATGATCATCGGAGTTCTTATGGGTTGGATGAGTGGAGGTCTCAGCAGAGGAGTGGGGCAGGAGACCCTCCAGCTTTAACTGACAGACTCAGGATCATTTGGCTCTTCCCTTACCGAGCCCTTACCCCATGCTGGGCCTAGAGCTAACTTGTGCTGAGGAGAAACAGCACCCCGTCACCACAAGACCCAGCAGGATGTGGTAAGAGTCATAAACCAGTGCAAAGTCCTAGGAATTTGGAACAGGAGTGCTCTCATTCATGGGGGGAGTGAAATAAAGCTCCATGCAGAATAGTTTTATTAGAATTAGGTTTGGCTGCTTGTCCTGGGAGGAGAAAACTGAACTCACAGAGACTTTATCCGGAAGTTTAATTTTCTTAGTTTAATTCCAGGGCTGGCGAGGCATGTTCCTTAGCATCGGGAATTGGGATCCTCCTTCTGCCATCCCCGTAGTATGTCTTTGTTCTTGTGGTTTACCTGGCTGTGGGAGCTCCAAACATCACATTTCCATCCCAGCTAGTGAAACGAAGGGAAGCCCAGGCTCCTGTTCCCGTATCTTAGATTTCATTACCGTCCTCACTGGAGGCACCTGTTGCGGGGGCACAAAAACCCCGAGGTTTAACTATTGCATGTTCAATCCTCTTGGTCATTGTATTAGGCGTTTCTATAGCTCAGTCCCTTTTTGGGTGTTTCGGTTTCCTGTACATTCCCCTTTTCCAGATCTCTGGCATCTCCTAGCAGCATAGAGTTCGTGATACATTTTTCCCCTAATGATTTGGTTGAACGTTTTGCTTGTAGAGGTCCTTGAAATTTGCTGTAACCAATTTACACAACAAAACGAAGTAATTCACATTAATTCCCTCCACTGGAAATAAGCCCTGATCTCATTTCAGTGACGATCTTTCTGGACAGTTCTCTATGCACAGCCTGCCCCCTCCCGCTTTCCCCAGAAGGACCCTGGGTCACGTCACTGTTATCTCTCACATCAACTATGGCGTCAGCCCAGCTTCAGGCAATCTCCAGCGACAGCCGAACGGAGCAGGGGTTCTGCTTTTATTTATTTATTTTTAATTGTTAAAATTATTTATTAAATTAATTAGTCAGTTTGTTTATTTATTTATTTATTATTTTTTAGTTCACCAGAGAGGGACAGAGAGAGAGGGAAAGTGAGAAAGCAAGTTGCCAGATCCAGGACTCAAACCACAGTTGGCCATGTGGGAGTCCAGTGCCTTAACCACCATGCCACGTGCTAGCCCCACTGCTTTTTTTTTTTTTAATTGAGGTAAAATTCGCATAACATATAGTTAACAATTTTTTTTAAGAATTATTTTATTTAACTTTATTTATTTATTTTAATTTGACCAGAGAGGACAGAATGGAGGGGGGCAGGGAGAAAATGAGAAAGCAATCCACCAGATCCAGGACTTGAACCATGATTGGCCAGGTGGGAGTCCAGCGCCCTTAACCACCATGCCACCTGCCGGCCCCATATAGTTAACAGTTTTAAAGTGAGAAATTCAGAGCCATTTCGTACGTCACGATGTGGTACGAGCACCTCTATCTAGACCCAAAACACTTCCATTGCTCCGAAGTAAAACCCTGTCCCTGTTAACCAGCAGCTATTCCCTCTCCTCCCCCAGCCCTGGGTGAATGAATACTCGTTCTCACTGCTTTGGGGAATACACCTAAGAGTGGAGTTGATGAGTCATTTGGTAATTCTGTTTCATTTTTTGAGTAATTGTCCAGCTTCATTTAAATAGCAACTGAACCATTTTCTATTCCCACCAACAATGTAAGAGGACTTCAGTCTTCTACCTCCTTGTCAACACTTGCTTCCTGTTCTTTTTTATTACAAACACCACCAGGGGTGTGAAGAGTATCTGATTACGGGTTTGATTGCATCTCCCCAGTGACCAGGATCATGGGCATCTTGTCATGTGCTTCTTGGCGTATGTCTATTTTCTTTGTCAACGTGTCCATTCAAGTCCTTGAAATCGGGTTGTCTTTTTGTTGTGGAGTTATGAAAGTTCTATTTTCTGGATGCTAGAGCCATTATAGATATATGATTTGCATTTTTCTCGTTCCGTATTTTCTCTTTTTATTTTCTCGATAGTGTGCTCGGATATACAAAACTTTCATATTGTAAATCCACCTTTCAGCTTGGAGGGATCTGCAGGTCTCTCTGATGATCTGCCCAGGGCTACTGGCAGAGGCTGCCCCATCACGGCCACAGCCCTGTAACAGGCATCTCATGTGTTTGCAGGGAAGGTCTGGGTGCCCAAGCAGAAGCCGATGGATCCTGTGCTGGAGAGCGTGACGCTGGAGCCGGAGCTGGAGGAAGCCTTGGCAAATGCCTCGGACGCAGAGCTCTGTGACATCGCAGGTAGGAGGCATTCCAGAAGCTTCCCCACATCCTGCAGAGGGGTTTCTCCCACATCTGCAGGAGGCCGGATTGGTTTATTTCAACATGAACACCTTCTCCGTTCCTAACCAGACTAAAGGAGACCAAGAATATTAAAATAGAAGTCCCTTATAAACATCCAAAATGAGGAAAATAGAGACAAACTACCCAAACCCATCACACCATGGCGTTATCTGTTGTTGCCGTAAGTCGTCTGTTGCCATGCCATCCCAGAAAGACATCCCTTCCCAGCCATTCACACAGCAAATCCTCCCAAGCTACTTGAGAAGAAAGAGCAGGTGCACATAAATAGGCACCTCCAAACTGGGAGTCACAGAGGGCTCAGGGCAGAGTGGGCGGACTTTACGACTTGGTACGCTGCCTGTGGTCAGCTCAGAGAGCAGGCTTCCTATCTCATATTCGTCCTAGGCGCTCCAACTTCCTGTGTTCCGTATGTTCTTCACAGACACCCCGGAAACTCCAGAAGGTGGCTTGTTATTCAGAGCCTTTGGCTGCCCCCGCCCCTATTCTTGTCTAGACCCTACCTGCCACCCTCACTGATGGTCAGGTGCTGGCCATTCCGGCCCCCACGTGCTCTGTACCCTACTGTCCTCCCTGACTCAGTGTGTGGCTGGGTGTTCATTATGCAGGTTTGAGGGCTACTTACCATCACCCAAGAGACAGCAGGAGAGAGAATGGGGTGGCAGAGACTCAAGGCAGGTGGGTAGGGGAGAGGAAAGGAGGGAACGACTGTGGCTGACCCAGCTGTCAGGCAAGGCTGAGCTCAGCAGACACTAAGTGGAAGTTGGTGCCCCTGATGAAGGCAAGGCAGGAGTAGGAGTGACACCAGTTCAGACTAGGCCTTGTGGCATCTGAGGGGCCTGTGAGCTGCCGGCTGGGGCAGTTGTACTCGAAGGTCTTGAGTTCTGCAAGGGGCCCCCATTAGGACAGAGACTTGGGCATCGTTAGGGTCGTCAAACTCCAGGCAGGGCACGTGGCTGAATGGGGACTGAGGTCCGTGAGGGCAGGTGTTAGGCCAGGATAGAAGCTTTGGGGGGCTGGTTGTGGAAACGGAGCAGAGGCTCAGTTAACCACAAGCAGGCTGGGAACTAAAGGCCGAAGCAAGATGGCCAGAGCCTAATGCAAGAGCCAAGGGGTGAGAATGAGGGCCCTGGGCTGGCCAGAAGGCTCAGAAACGTGAGGCCAGGGCAGGGGAGATGGGGCACCAGCACTGGGGCACTTGGTGGCCACAGCTGTCCTGCCTCATCACAGCCACTGTGGGGTGAGCTTTGTGCATGACTCCTGGTGGCATCTGTGGTAGGGGTGGCATCATCCGTAGCAGGCAGTGGGAATGCTTGACTATGCACAGGGGGTGATACAGGGTGGTGGCAGCTGCAGCGGGGTTGCAGGGACTCAGGGACTGAATAAGGAAAGCTGGTATGGAGACCCTGGGTAGAGCCCTGTCCTCAGGAGACAGAAAATGCGGAGAAGGCCTGAGGGGAGGGTTTGGAGGGTGTCAGGGCTGGCAGAGTGGTTTTCGTTTTCATGGTGAAGTTCAGAAATGGAAATACCTCTACGCTGAACTGGAAACCCGATTTGCTTTGCAGTTAAGGATTCGTTGTGTCGGAAGCCACCCAAGTCCACAGTCACATGAGATCCTACACAATGCCCTCATATTTCACCCACTCCACTTCTCTGGTGGGGTCCCCTTGACTTCCAGCCGATCCGTGTGCAGGCAGACGAGGTGCCTTTGCCCGGCATCTCTGCATTGACTCACCCAGGGCTGTTTTTATCCTGACTTTCTCCTCCGGTCACCCTCCCTGACCTCACTCCCCTCTTAGGCAGCTCAGAGGGATTATCAAATGACTCCACCATCAAACCGCCGGCTCCTGCCAGTTCCTGAGCCAAAACAGAACTGCAAATTGTGCTAAGTTTCTGTGTGGCTTTCTTGAAGCAGTTTCTCTTTATTTTCATTGGCATGGCTAACTGTTTTATATCTGTTCACGATCATACCCTTCCGATGTCCAGGAAGGAGAGGGGAGCTGAAAGTCTACACCAGTCTTAACTGCTAACCTTGACACCTGTCATTTTATTTCGGCCCTTGGAAGGTGGCGGTGTCTCTGGGGAAGGAAGGACTGGCTGCCTGTGGCCCACCAGCACGTCAAGGTGCTGTTCAGTTGCTCTCAATGCCTTGTCGCACTTGTCGGCCACAGCAGTCCTGTGGAGTGACTTCCGTTGTCATCCCCGTTTTATAGATGGGGACAGTAGACGTGGTAAGGTCAAATGCCTTGCCCAGGGGGTTTGAACCCAGGCAATGTCATTCTATGGCCCATTCATAGCATCACCCTCTGACCCCCTATAACCTGAATGAAGCCCTCCGAGGTAGGGGAGGACGCAGTAAACACAGAAGGGGGGCAAGAGAGGGCACATGGCCCAGGCTGAAGACATGGGAGGGGACAGGGCAGGCCACATTAGGAAAGGTTTAGGGGTGAAACCTGGGACGAGGGCAGTGTCAGGAAAGCTGGATGAGAACTGGGGTTCGGAAAAGGTGGTGACGTTGTAGAGCAGGGTTCCCCAACCCTTGGGATGTGGACAGGTGCCAGTCCATGGCCTGTGGGGGGCTGAACCACAGGCTGCTGTTAGTGTGCCAGCTGTCCAGCTGGGGCAGGCAGCGGGGAAGCAAGCGAGGCTTCATCCGTGTCTGCAGCTGCAACGCGTTGCTCGTATTGCCACCAGGGACATGCCCCATCAGGTCAGCAGAGGTACTGGACTCTCATGGGAGCCAAGCCCTACCGTGGTATGATGGTTTCATTGTATATTGCAATGTGGTAGTGGTGGAAACGGGGTGCACGCGGATGTGCTGCACGCGGGTCATCCCAGGACCAATCCTCCTCCCCCCCCCCCGTGCCCCCTGGAAGGAGGGAAATGTCAGGAAGTGCCTGTTTGGAGAGGGATTGTCTTCCACAAGATTGGTCTCTGGTGCTGGGAAAGTTGGGGACCCCTGTTCTAGAGGATGGGGGCACATACAGGGCAGTGCCACAGGACTGCAGCTGAGGTGGGGCTCCACCTAGAGATCAGCTATTGCTACTGCTGCCTCAGAGGCTGCTGACGCCAGGCTGACACCAGCGTCCAGGCCTGCAGCACCAGGAACAGTTGGGCGGACAAGGGAGAGCGGCTCCGCCAAGAGCTGATTTCAGCGACACCACAGGACACGGAGGCTTGGGGGTGATGGGTCCTCCAGAGAGTGGGGTTACAGGTGTGGAGTCTTTTTTGAGGAGTGAATGACTGGAGCTATGAGTGTGGGTGACTCATTAGAGGAAGAGAAGTAGGGAGAGGAAGACATGGGTCTAAAGGTTACCTTAGTCTCTGGGGCCTGACTCCCAGCAATGTTTCCTTCAGCTTAGCTTTCACCTCTCCACTCCTGCACCCAGGGGTTCACGCATCCAGTGCCTCCCTCCTGCACCCAGGGGTTCACGCTTACAGTGCCTCCCTCCTGCACCCGGGGGTGCACGTGTCCAGTGCATTCCTACCATTTGTGCAGCAGGCTCTGGACCGGTCAAAAAATGCATAAGAAAACAGCCAATTCCTGCCTAGCATTAAACAAATACTGGGCAACTATGTGGTGACAAATGACAGTGATTTCCCTAACTATAGAAGGACCAGGTATACAGGGGCTCTTGGTTTAGGTGGTGGGGCTGGTGGAGATGTGATAAGAGACCTGGAAGCTGAGCCTAAGGGAGGAAGAGTAGGGGTGAGCTAGAGAAAGCATGGGGGAGCCAGGTCCAGGGTGGGAAAGGGCAGAGGCAGTGGCCCCGAGCTGGGCAGGAGGCAGGCCCCTCTGAGCCACTCACTACGCAGGTATATGCATGGCAGGTTGATGTCCAGTGATGGTAGAAACCTGTAGGAGGGCAACAGCAGGCATGCCACCTGACCCAGGTATGACCCAGGTAAGGCGCATCATCTGTGTACCCATTGATTCGCTCACTGAGCCAATGGACATTATTGAACTCCTCCTGAAAACTAGGATGAATCGGAGCCAGTTTCTGCCCGTGGGGGGCCCAGCAGGTGATTAGGAGGACAGATCAGAAGTGGAGATTTCAGCATTTAAAGTATCCCCACTGGATGATGAGCAATGTGCACAAGACCCTGGCAGTGCTAAATTCTTGGCATGTGGCCTTGTGTCATAGACTGGAGGCCACTGGGAGTCAGTTGCAAGTACATGGAGTTACTAGTGCCTTCTGTGCCACTCAGGGATGTGGTCCTGGCTGGTCTGTAGGGACTCTCCGGGTAGGGTGAGACCCAGGAAGAAAGTGGGGTAGAGAGACACATCCTTCAGATGGGTGCTCCTCACCCAAGGCCACCACCCCATGGCCACCCCTAGCTCAGAAGCTGGCTTCAACAAGCCACCCTTGGCTTCAGGTTACTGTCAGGTGCTCAGCCACCTGTCCTCCTGTCTACAAGTGCTAGGGTGTGGCTCATCCAGGAGGGTTCAACTGCACCCACATCCTGGGCAGGAGCCAGTTTCTCTCACCTGCCCCTGGGAGACAAGGAGATACCTACAGCCATCTGCCCAGAGCCAGCCCCAGCAGCTGGCAGCTGGAGAAGCTGGGGGTGTGTGCAGTTATCTCTCTGGGTCCTGAGTGGAATTACGAACTGAGTGAACCCTGCCAAGGCAGAGAGAGGAAACAGAACTCAATGTTCTTTTTCAGAGTTCAAAAATAGTCCTTTTTGAGTTTTGAGGAAGATCTAGACTTAAAAAAAAAAAAAAATCAAGTTCCCCAGTGCTAAATTCAGCCTTGCCAATATCTATAAAGAATGAAGCAGCAGGCAGCGTGGATGTGCTGTTTTCTTCCACCACTCAGTCCGGGCGACGGGGAGCGTGTAAGGCAAGCCAGGGAAGAGCCGTGATTGTGTGCTTAGGGCAGGCCGGAGGGCCTCAGAGGGCCCTAGCGGTCCCCGGCGGTGATGCACGGCCACCAGGCGCTGTGTTCTGCAGCAGAAATCTACCTTCTTAGCTTCCTACCTTCCCGCCTTCCTTCCCTTCTCTCCTTGCTTCCTTCCTCCCTCCCTCCCTCCTACCCTTCTTCCCTTCCTCCTTCCTTCCTCTCTCCTTTCCTCCCGTTCTCCTTCCAACCTCCCTCCTTCCTTCTTTTCTCCCTCCCTCCCGTTCTTTTTCCTTTGCTCCCTTCTTCCTTCCTTTCTTCTTTCCCTCTGTCCTTCCTCTCTTTTCCCTTCCTTCCTCACTCCCATTCTCCTTTCTTCCTTTGCTCCCTCCCTCATTCCTCCTTAAAGAACCTGGAAACCCATCAGATTGCCCTGAGCTCTCTGTGGGAGCTGGAGGTGGCTCTTGGTGATTTGATTCACCTGCCGCTGACTCAGGCCTCAGCTGCCCACGTAGATGCAGCTTAAATTAAAACCCCGAGAGCTTGAAAAAATGCAGATGTCTCTCTTCCTACCAGTTCTCCTGAGCGATGAACAGGCAAGTCTAATTTTAGCAGAGAAGACTCTTAGAATGTGAGAAACAGAAGGACTTTAAGATCATCTCATCTTCTGGTTCTTGGTTCCTGACGAACATCAAACTCACCCAAGGAAATTAAAAATTAGCTCCAGAGATTCAGAGTAGTTGACCCTGGGTGGAGCTAGGTATTGTTACTGTCTTAAAGCCCCTGGTGGTTCATATGGCAGCCATGACTAAGAGCCTCTGGTTTTATCTCACCCCTCATTTTACAGCAGAGGCTGAAGAGAGAGAAGACTTGCCCAAGGTCACACTTGGCATCGGGGGCATAGTCACAGTTGGAACATGGTCTCTTGACTCTTCATTAAGAGCTCTTGTCTTTCTAACTGGAAACTATGTCTAATTAAATGACTTGGAATTGAAATAAAAAAATCAACACCAAATATTTTCTAAAAAGCTATTGTATTTGGGAAGAGGCGGAAGAAGAGATAATATTCTTCCTTGACCTCTGGAAGCCCACTCCAATAAAGGGATCACACATATATCCAGATATCTCTAATATTGGTAGACTGTGTTATAATAAGGACATTTATAGGACCAGCAGATGGTGTAATAGTTTTGTTGCTGGACTCCCATGTAGTTGACCGTGATTGAAGTCCCGGACCTGGCAGCTTAAACTCATACCAGGCGTGTGTGTGCATGCCCATGATCCTGAGAGGAGAATGGAGGAGAAGGGATTGTGGTGTGGCCATCCCCCTGGGGGATGATTTCTTGTTTTCTGTCTCTGTGTCTCTCTCTATGTATGTTTCCGGTGAGCACACGTGCCCTATAGCAAAAATCTCTCTTCGAAAATAAATAAATAAATAAACCAAGGACACTTCTTAGTGCTGTGAGAGAACAGAGAGGGAGAGTGAGGACTCAGAAAGTCTTCCTGGAGAAGGAGGGGTTAGTCCTGAAGGATGGGGAGGTAGAGTTGTTAGATTAAATATAAGATGTCCAATTGAATTTGAATTTCAGATAAACAATAAATAACTTTTTAATGTAAGTATGTCTCAAATATTGAATGTTTATTTTACATTCCAGTGTAACTGAGTGTAAGGACTCACCTCCAGAAGGGACAGCGTTGGCAATAATGGGAGAATCTACTGAGCAGCGGCTGTTTGCATGGCTAGAGCAGAAGAAATGTGGGTGTGGGGGTGAGGGATTGGGCTGTTGAGGTAGGGCCTGTCAAGAAAGGGTCTTTGAAGCCAGGCTCTGGTGTTTGGACTTGGCCATCACAAGCCACCGTCCTCCCGTCTGGATAGCTGCAACAGCCTCGTAGTCTGAACCCACATCCATGGATCCTCTCTGTAGTGAGAGCTTGGGTTGGTTCTTCTCACTCCCTGCTCAACTCTTCAATGACCTCCAAGGCTGAATCTAGAAAGAGACAAATTCCTGACCTCAACCTGGAAGGCTGTAGGAGCTGACCTTGCCCTAGTGAATGAAATCGACTGTGGTGGGTGGTTGTGGAGATTAAGGGGGAGTAGCATCAGGCAACAGTTCTCGACCCTGGCCGCCCACTGAAACCAGCTGCTGAGCTTGGCAAATGCAGGTGCCTGGGCCTCACTCCCAGAAATGTTGGTTTCACTGGACTGGGGCAGCCCTGGGTGTCAGGAGTTTCAAAAGATTGCCAAGTGATTCCGATGGGCGCCTGAACTGAGAATCACTGATACCGTGCACCTTCCCTGGCCTGGAGCACGGGTTCGTGAGTGGGAGATGCTGTCGCCATGCCTGCTGTTTTGTTGTCATTACCACCATATCCCCAACCACTTTGTCTCTGTCTTTTGTTTCCCAAACTTCTCCCTCCCTGAGCCTCAGAGCGTTGCCAGAATAGCCTGTATCCCTTGGCTTGACTTGGTCAACACTTAGTCATCCTTCCCATCCCATCTCTCTCGTGTCTTCTCCCACAACACACTGAATTTTTCCTTGACAACTTTTCAGACCCTGTGCTGCTATTTTTCATTGTGTCAGTACATGTTTAGCATGTCTGTCTCTCCCTGACAGACTCAAGTCCAGGAGCAGAAACTCTTTCTCATTCTCCACTTTCCCCCAGAGCTGGCACACTCTGTGAGTGCTCAGTAAATGTTGAACAAATGAATAGGTGAGAAAATGGTTGAGCAGGGAAGTGGTGTGGTCAGATTGGCATTTCCAGAAAGAACTTTATTTTTTGAGAGAGAGATTTTTGCTACAGGGTGCATGTACCCTCTAGAGGAAGATAGACAGAAAAAGAAATCACCCCCCAGGTGGGATGGCCATGCCACAATCCCTTCTCCTCTATTCTCCTCAGGAGTTTTGGCACACATGGACATGCACCGGTATGAGTTTTAAGCTGCCAGGTCCAGGACTTGAACTGCAGTCAACTATGTGGGAGTCTAGCAATGTAACCATTATACCATCTACTGGTCCCTCCAGAAAGACCTTTCTGGCTGCTTTGTTGTGAATGAGGGGAGGAATGAGGTGGGAAGAGACCAAGGCCAGGACAGTAGTGATCACAGAGCTGTGATATTACAGCCCAGAAGTGATAGGGCCTCTCAGGACAAAGGCAATGGAATGGGAGAAGAGACCGATCTGAGAGACACTGGGGAGGCCCAATGGTCAAGAGGAGATGGTGCCACATGACTGAGATTTTTACCCTGAGGGTCAGGCAAGACGACAAAATGGAA